GTTTCAATTCTTGGTAATTTGCTACCAAAGGCACATTGGCAGTCTGTATTTAGAAGACACTTTATTTCTGCCTGAATGAGGTACTTTGTAACTCCATGAACTAATTCTTCCTAAGGTGACAGATTTTACTTGGTCCTTTATTTTGTATGTGGAAAAAGGAGTAACATGTTTTCAAGGTTAATTTTTTTAAAAATATAAATGGAAAATTAAGAGTACTTTAGTGATAGTTTTTCTTCTCTTTTTTCCTTCATTCTTTTTTTTTTTTTTAACACGGGGTGACAAGTCTGCTATTGTTTGGTTGTAAACTAAAAAAAGAGTCCTAATGAAAACATTTTGCTCCTGAAAAACCCTTCAGATTTGGCCGAACCAAAGGCAAAAGTATTCTCCTCACCCCCTTTATCTTGATGTGGAACACAAAGAGTTAAAACTATTAGGAAAAGTAAACAAAGCTCAATTCTCTGTATTTCCTTTGGCATCCTGTTCAAGTGAGATCCTGGTGTATGTTCAATGTGTATTTTTCATTTCACTGTGTGGTCTTTATCCATAGTGAGTTTCAATGAACTTTTAAGACTCAGTGATATTGTAGAAAAGCAAGGAAGCACTGCACTTTACAAGATACCCCCTGAAACAGTGGCAACCAAGGCAGGTTTTGCATATTGATGGATTTGTTTCTTTTCAAAGATGCCATGGGTTAATTCATAATTGAGCATTTGATATTGCTGGCATTTTATCCTCTACCAATAAAATTTCCAGCACTGTTGTTACGTAAGGCTGTGAAGGTTTAGCAGTTCTTATTTTTCTTCCCTTTTATTTATTAAAAAAAATAAATTATAGAAAAAACTCTCAACCTGAAAGTTAAAAGAGTATTAAGAAATAACATATGGTATTTTCTGTCTGTTTATTAGAGGAAGACATTGCATGAGAATAGGAAGACTAGTGTATCAGAAAAATAGGAGACCTGATTCAACTATGTTTAGTTTTGACAACTTGTTTACCAATTTTACTGGCTTTTTAAAGTTGAGATGAAGTTGATGTTGTTTACTTTTCTTCCTGTGCAAGCCTTGAGGAATTTTTTTTTTTTTTTTTTGCCTTTTGCAGGCTTCATTTCAATAGCATTTTCTATTTCATATTGTATTTTCTTGTTTCTTTGGTTACAAACCTCAACTTGATTCGCCATCAATTGATTTATTCAAATCATTTATTTTATATTCTCTCCCCCCTTCCCGCCCACCTTTGTAGAAGGCCTCCCACCCTCACTCCCGATAAACACATTGATTTATTTAAACCACTGTTGTCTTTGTCGCTCTCACAGCAGACTACCTTCCTCACAGTGAGCAGGCACATGATTTACTATGGAGGATGAAAATAAGCCTTCTTCTTGGTGTTCCATTGTCTGGGCCCTAAACCAGCTGTCTATTAAAATGGTTTCACTTAAAGTAGTCAATGCTGTTTATATGCTTCTGTGATCTTCCAGCTTTCCTCATACCCCACAGAGGCACATATTTAAATTAGGAAGAAAAGCAGAAACTTCTCCTTAAGTTGTTGTTTGAGGATCCTTTGCGTTTTAGGCTTAAAGTTGGGGTTTGCTGAACTGTGAATCATTTGTGCTCGATGTAGACAACCGAGATTTGACGTGTGGCTCCCAGTGGTGTGCAAGCTGGAAGGGGAACTTGGTGTCATTTTTAATAAGTCTTATTTGCTGACACTCTGTATCAGAGACATTGGTCAAATACATTGATTATATCTTCCTACCTTGGAGTCTCATCAGCATATGGACCCATACTTTCTGTATAATAGTTTTTTTTTTTTTTTTTAAGCAAGACTTTCGGTGACAGAACAGCTTATTTAGATGGGGTGGGAAGTGGATCTGTCTTTGAATTCCACTCCAAAGCTAACCCCATTAACCTGAGTTCCAGTTTACTCTATTTACAGGATTTGGAGTCCTTCTCCATGGCAAAGTGAAAAGACTTCTGTTTTATTTGCTTATATTTCAGGAGGAGTCACAGAAGCAGTGCTTCTTTTTCGGCCTTTTTGTGCTAAAAAGTATTCCTATGGAGGGCCCAAGGAGGGGGAGAGCAGAGACTTCTTGCTGTAACCCCTCCCCTAGAGTTCCTAACTATTTCTGAGCAAATCCAAGCTCATGGTTTCATTTTTCTATGCTTGATTTAGAGAAGAATTCTCTGTTTTGATTTAGCTGCCAGCAGTGAAGTGGCGGTTTGGTATTTGGTAAAGAGATGCCTTATGGAGGCTCTGTCCCTTTAACAAGTGATGCTTGGTCTCTAGACACAAAATTACTAAGACATGATCTCTGATAGTTCATGGATCACCTGCTGCTTTGGGGGAGTGATGACCATATTTGCATTGCAGCCCACCTATAACTGAATGTCATCATGGGCCCACTGATTTCAATGGAACCAGCAGCCCTAGTAAGAGTGATAATTGGTATCAGCAAGAAAGAATCAAACCAACAAGTTCCATTGAAATTGACACAGTCTCCTTTCCCCACACACACAAAAAAAAAAACCCACAACTTTCTTTTTTTTTTTTACATTAGAGAAAATCCCATCAGCATCTGTGAATTTATTTCCTGTGTTAGTTGCATTATTAGAGCAACATGACAAAAACTAAAGTTGAAGCAGAGATTGTCAAAGGTATTAAGAAAACACACAAAAATTTAATAATATTGGATTTATCAGAAATGCGTCATTAGAGTTTTTTGTGCCATGCATTAGATATAATCAGTTATTTATGTCTTTCTTTGATTTTGCAGTAGCAATTGCAGTAAACAAAGCAGGCAGATATTATTTTTGGTTTTCAAAAACAGTTTCAGTTTATTTAATACATTTTCTTGCGTAGAGCAACTTCTTGGGTATTTGACAAGGTCTTTTTAGAATATATGAAAGAATCACCAACGGTTGCTTCAACTAGTGGATGAAAATTTGAGGAGTAACATTATAGTAACATGAGCTAGATGATCTCTTCAGAAGACAGTTATGAATTACATAGGATAAAGTGATCATGTGACAGTGAGGAAACCTGCCTGATGTTCTCTAGTGGATGGCAGACACCACTTTAACCAAGTGATCAAATTGTGTGTTGCCAGTGGTGGAACTAGTGGACAGAATGATTTGATATATACTGAGAAGGATTTAGCATCACCTCTGTGGTATTCCTGCTGCCAAGTGCATAACTAAGCATGAAGACACAGCAAACAAAACCCAAACTGAGGGAAATTCTATAAAATAACTGGCCTGTATTCTTCAAAGACATCAATGTAATTGAAATACAAGGACTCAGGAACTGTTCCTTATAAAACAGACGTGACAATTGAATGTAATGATTGGGATTGGCTTTTCTTTTGCTATTAAGAACATTATCGGGAAATTGGTGAAATCTCAATAAATTTGACAGATTAGATTATTGTGTTGATGTTAAGTTTCTGATTTTGCTAGCTGTACAGTGGTGATGTAAGAGCATTCCTTGTTTTAAGGAAACACATGCTGAAATATTCAGGGCATGTCTGCAACAGAGTAGCAGTGGTTCAAGAAAAAAAAAGTAGAATAAAGAATAAAGCAAATCTAGTAAAATGTAAACATTTGGGGAATCTGAGTAAAATGTATCCTGGAATTCTTTACATAGCCATGAAATTTTTCTTTAAGTGTAAAATTATGTCAAAATAAAATTTTTCAAAAAATAACAGAGCTATGATAGGTTAACCATAGAAAATGGTTTAGATAGGTTAGTGGTTGAGAAATTACTCCTCATGTAGTGCTTTTCCTTATTTTTAAAATTTGTTGTTATTTTTATTTTGTAATGTGGTTATGTATCATAACCAGAACCTGCTTTGAGGACTTGCACCGTGTCTTAAGCTGCACCCATCACTTCCAGGTTCTGAAAGTTCAGGTTCATAAACAAAGCATAATTGTGCCAACCACAAGTTAGTCACTGCAGTGACTGTATGTACTAAATAAAATGGCCTCTGGTTAACTTAAGTCATTTTGTCACCAAGAAATTGAGGATTATCTGAATGTGTGAAAGTAATTTTATTCACAATTTAGTATTATGCAGTGATGCAGCATTAAATTAATTGAAATGTATCCCCATGTAGAACACTGCTTTACCCAAAGCTTTGTGCTTTTCTTTGGTCCAGTTATTAACACGTAGATCCAGCAGGAAGCTGAGGTCCCAGAGAACTTTCCTGGTGACCATAAGCAAAATGTTTGTGCACACTTTATAAAAAGTAGACAGAAACATCTTGCTAGTAAGGTGCTTTGGGTTTCCTGATTTTGAGAGTTAGATATAATTCTTTTTAGTTTAGGAAGAAAATTCTGTGGCTTACACCCTGTTTCACACCCAGCACATGTCTCTGAGTATTACTATTTGGGTGGGTGTACACCCTGGGAGAGCACATGTTTTTAGTCTGTTGGTGGAAAGAGGGATTTTCCCTGATTGATGATTCATCTCAAAGAAGACACAGTTATTGAATGGACTCATTTGCCCCATCTGCACTTGTTTTCTAGTATTCACCACGAGAACGCTAAATGTTGGGGCTGGAAGTAGTAAAGTGAGAAAATAAATACATATATACACTTGTACTTACATATATTAACATTTAAATCAAATCCATGTGCTTTTCTATATTTTAAATAAATAGTATCTCAATCTGCTAAAGCCTTCTGGGTTTTTCCTCTTCATTTATTAGATTTATTTTTATTCTGTATGGAGAGGAGAATTGCGGTTGTCTTGACGACAGAAGCCCATCCCACACACTGATCCAAAGATGTGCATCATAATACGATGGTTGACAGGGCAGAGAGGAACATATCCCGTTCCACTCAATTTGGGTTGCAAGGAATTTTGAAACAATCAGCTCAGTGAGGCCTTGGGCTCCTGAAAGCTAATTGGCCAGCAGCAGTGGTGAAGTGCTGGAGAACTCAATTGTGGCAGTTTTTTCTGCTACATGGCTCCATTCTTAACTAAAATTGTGCCTTTGTTTACAGGCCATAGTGTATGAAGGCCAAGACAAGAACCCAGAAATGTGCCGAGTCTTGCTCACACATGAGATCATGTGCAGGTAAGAAATACTGCATTCTCTCTCTCTAATTAGCAAAGAGAAGATGAATTTGTATCTTCAAGCTAGGTGAACGCAGGTCTATTTTGGAGTATACATTTATCTTGCTTCTATAAGACAATCTACATGGAACCGTTAGACATGAGTAGTTGGTAGTAAAGTGTCAGGCATCACAGTGCTTCTCATTATTTATTAGATTTCATTCTGAAAAACATACATTTCCATTTTGATATCTCACTGTTAATGGGCACAAAGCAGTGCCCTCCAAGACTCACTTCCAATGGAATAAAATACTATATAACCCTTTTAGTGTTAATATATATGCTCAAATGCATTGCTAGTAAAATGATTAAGAGTTCTATTGATGTCAGCAGTGGCTTCCATGTGGGTACTACTACAAAGTTATAAAAGCCATTGCTGTCGAGTCGATTCCAACTCATAGTGACATTATAGGACAGAGAACTGCCCCAAAAAGTTTCCAAGGCTATATACATCTTTATAGGCACAGACTTTCTTTCTAGGCACTCTGTCTTTCTCTCGTTGAGCTTGAACTGTGGGGTTCAAACTGCCAACCTTTTGGTTAGCAGCCAAGTGCTTAACCATTGCACCACCAGGATGTGAAAATTATTGCTCCCCTTTTTAATTCTCCTACTTAAAAATTTGACCACCTATATTTAGGCATCATTCCTCCTGAAAATGAGTGCTTAGTGCTTTCTTGCATCAGATCTCTTAATCTTAGTTACCCTGTATTTCTCAGAGGGAGTGAGCTTTTGGAAAGATGGCAAAAAAGAGTCCTGGAAGGTATAAAAGTTCATGTCACCCACAAACAAGTGCTTTTATTTTGTCAGTAATCAGACTGAAGCTACATTTGAAAACAGACAAGCTGAGCACATTCACTTCCCTGACCTCCATGTATGAGAGAGCAGACCACAGAATAGTCTTCTAACCTGCAGCTTAGATTCTTATTCATCATGAAATAAATAATTCTAGTGCCTTGCTCCCAATATATTCTGAGTAATTGGATAAAGCATGAAGATGCCACGATGCATCAGAGAAAGGCTACTAATTGCTTTGTTAGCCATTCAGGCTCTTCCTGGCATAGCTGGTGCTTGGCTTCTACTATTTTTGATCTTTAGAGCTTTTGCAGTGCCTTGGTGTGTGTGGACTCCATTTGTTCCTGTTGGGCCTGTGGGGATGGTGATCCTAAAACTCTACAGGTGGAAATAAAATAGAAAGGGCTTAATGTGCTTCTTTAGTGGAATCCCAATACTAATTACTCTGTCTATAAATATGTATGCATAAACAAATTTATTTATTTTTCTTTTTTAACATACTTCTAATCTATTACTCTAAAATAATATGGGAGTTTTACAAGTTTTCACTTCAGTGATTTGTAGACTTGTCAATTACTTTACAACCACCTTGTTTTTCTCTAACTTTAAAGTATTAGCAGAATCTAAAAATGTGGAGATGGTTTTCTTTTATTATTAGGAAAAAAAAAATTGTGTTATATTGGAGGGAACAGTGGTACAATTAAAGCTGAGCTGCATCTTTCAGAATAAAATTCATGAAATCTGTTTTGAAAAGCATTCAAAAATGACCTCCTTCGTATTACTGTTTTTCTGACATTATCACTATTTTAGCTTCCCACAATTAGCATGTCATTAGGATGAATTTTCCATGTTCTAGTGCATGTGATTCTAGTAAAATAGACAGACAGGAAAATGGATTTCAACCAATAGGCCAACTAAAATCTATATATCACAGATTCGCATATCATATCTGCACATGTTTGGACTATGCTCGAAATAATTCTGTTATTGAAATACTTAAAAGATATATTATGCCTTTCACACATAAGCCTACCCTCTATTAATGCAGCTTATATTTTTCTTGTTTTTAAAATTCATTGGTCCAAAGTACTTTATTATGCTGGTTGGTTTTCTTTACTGCTGATGTTCCTTCTATTTTTCAGAAGCATAAAAATAGCAAAAATAAAATTCTGAAGCCACTGAAGGCAAATGATGATGTTTGTGCTGTGTGGCTAAGAGGGAAAAGCCATATTCAAAATGTCATCCCGCTAATGTTACAGATTACAGTTTTCCTGGCTGTGCATAGACGTGGAAGGGGTAGTGTTTGTTTACTAGGCTGCCATGACCCTATTACACAAACCTGTCATCTATTGTGTGGCTAACAGTCTTTTAAATTGCAAATCTGATGCTCTTTAGGGCGCTTTAGGAAAAAATTCTCACTTTCCACACCATTCTATTTCTCTTGATTTCTTGCCTGTTGTAAGTGGAAGTTGGGATGTGCTGAATTTGCACCAGGGGTGCAAATGCAGGCTCAATTATAAGCATAAAATTAGAGTCTGTTCACCATTAATCAGCCTGGCTAATTGCTATGCACCACCATTTGCCATATGGTGTGAAAGACAGCTTGCTCTCCCCAAGATGAAATTTCTTCATTGCAGACATGAAATAGTGAGGGTCCTGGATTTTAAAATAGCTTGTTTTAGTTATTTAATTTCTAAACAACTTTCTGCAGTGCTTTCTATCAAGGCTAACAGCACAATAAAACTTTGTGTTTATGTCACAAAAGCTGTATGTTTATAGTACATGCAAAGGAGACATAGAGAATTTAAATAGACAAGAAAGGGCTGGGGAGGATTTTGTTTTGTTGCAGGCAAAGGAAAAAAATAGGAAAAAAGAAGAACAGTGGAGAGTTGTGTCTCAGGTGGTTACAAATTTAAGAAATCTGGTGTGTTCTGTGAAAAAGGAGGTCCCATTTCATAGACTGGCTAAAGGACTTGCCACTATTGGATTGTAGTTGTCATTCTTAGAGACAAAAGCTCTTTGGTTTGATGGTATGGGCTACTTCTATGGAATTCTGGGAGAATTTCTGCATTTTTGATAAATTGGAATCTATCATAACAATCATTACATTTTGCTAGTACCTAGTGGTTAAGTTCCTAAAATAATATGACTCCTTGAATGCTTGTTTAAAGCAGGATTCCATAAGGGATTTGATTCAAAGTGCATCCTGGCATCCTGTGTTTAAATGTGAATGGAAAATATGAACTCTGCTTGGTAGGGCGAATCCAACTCTCAGCCCCTGAGCCAGGTGGAAGCAAGTTTTGTTGGTCTGTGCGCAGCATAGTGGCAGGGTCTGGTGCTCTGTGTCAGGAACACCCTCCTCTTTTCCATTAGCAGTGCCTGGCCTCTTGTGGGGACCATGAGTTCTCGGGACTAGCCTGGTCCTTTGATATTCCCCCTTTTCTTCCCCCCTTCTTATGCTGGTTTATTCTGATTTCATCCTTCAGATTCCAGCTTAAGCTTGGTTTCTCCAGGGACGCATCCCTGGCCCTTGGCCTGAGTTAAGTCCCTTTGTTATACACTCCCATCATTCCCTGTGCTTTTCCTTCATAGCACTCCGCCCTCTTGTAATTATGGGTTCAATGTTTGTCTGCCTTTGCTGCACTAAAAACTACTTGAAGGCAGGGAGATTACTCAATTTTTCTCTGTACAGTGAGTTCCTTTTGTGTGTGTGTGTGTGTGTGTGTGTGAAATAAAATCCATTGTGATTCTAACTCATAGTGTCTCTATAAGATAGGGCAGAATAGAACTGCCCCATAGGATTTCCAAGGCTATAATCTTTATGGAAGCAGACTGCTACATCTTTCTCCTGCAGAGCAGGTGGTAGGCTTGAACCACTGACCTTTAAGTTAGCAGCCAAGCACTTTAACCACTGTGCCACCAGGAGTCCTTGTTTGTGAAATGGTGGATAATTATATTACTTATCTCAAAGGGTAGTTGTTAGAATTAAATGAAATATTCTCCATAAATGCTTATCACAGTGTCTGATACATAATAAGTACCAAGTGTCTATATGACTAGTATTAAAGAAGAAGTAGTGAATAAAAAAGGAGAAAATAAATGTAGTTGAGTGGATTCCAACTCCTGGTGGCCCAATGCATGTCAGAGTTGAACTGTGCTCCACAGGATTTTCAAAGGCTGATTTTTCAGAAGTAGATCACTATGCCTTTCTTCCCAGGCACCTCTGGGTGAACTCAAACCTCCAACCTTTTCATTAGTAGCTAATCACATGCCCCAGTTGCACTACAGTGTCTAGGAAAAGATCTGGCCCATTGTTGCTCAAAATGAGTGATGGTGAAAGAATACTGAAAGGCAGTGAAGCATACTAAGACAGACATTCATGTACTTTTTCATCTCAGTTGTGATGGTACAGACGTGTTCATTCATTTATTAGCTTCCTCAGAAACCCAATGGGGGTTACTATGAGTTGGTATTGACTTGATGGCAGTGAGTTTGGTTTGGTTTGATATGTGCAAAACACTGTGGAATACAGAGGCAAAAAGGGGTATGAGATCTTACAGTTAGCATGGGAGATGACGTTTGTAAGCCTATAATTATATTGCACTGTAGAAAGAGTTAAATGTGATGGAGTTGAGGCAAAGGACTATTTAGAAAAGGGAGGAAATATCGTAGGTGAATAAGGAGCTCTGGTGATGTAGTGGTTAAGGCATTTGGCTACTAACCGAAAGGTCAGTGATTTGAACCCACCAGCCACTCCTGGGAAGGAAGATGGGGCAATCTACTTCCATAGCGATACTGCCTTGTAAATCCAAGGAGGGGTCGCTATGAGTTGAGTCCAACTTGACAGCACATAACAACAACAACAGCTGCTCTGTGGAAGAAAGATGGGCCAGTCTGCTTCTGTCAAGAATTACAGCCTTAGAAACCCAACGTGGGTCGCTGTGAGTGGGAATAGGCTAGATGGCGGTGAGCTTGGTTGAGTTTGAGTAGCAATGGAGGAGCCCTGGGTGGTGCATTGTTTAAGTGCTCACTGGTAAACAAAAGGTTGGGGGTTTGAATTGACTCAGCAGCTCCTTAAGAGACAGGCCTGGTGATCTGCTCCCATAAAAATTACAACCTAAAAATCCCTGTGGGGCAGATTTACTCTGCCATATGAGGTCACCGTGAGTC